TATATATGTGTGTGTGTGTGTGTGTGCGTGTGTGTGTGTGTGTGTATGCGTGCGTGCGTGTGTATGTGTGTGTGTGTGTGTGTATATATACACATATATGTAATCAACATTATCATATCGTTTATTTTTCGTTTTATCATCGCGAATCGCATGATGTTTGATTCCGTATGTCATTTTATTTCGTTCATTCGTTTGTCAAATATTTATCAAACGATTCAGCGTGGCCACCAACGAACGAAACGAGATCAGTGATTGTGAGAAATAAAAAAAAAAAGACAGAAGGGAGAAGAAGAGAAGCACCGACAACCCATCACCACAGTTTCGTCGTATGATTGGTTAACGAACGCGAAAAAAATGATTGACAATTTTGCATCGAATTTTAAGTGGCGTGCGACCAACAATATTGACGATGCGTGCATACGCGTTTTATTATTACATATTTGTCGTTTATCGTGAGATGTGCGTGAGGAATAATTTTACGGATAATTTAACGTTTTTTAAGTCATTAATTAATAATGATGATTTAATATTTTGTTTGTCGCGAAAATTTTCGACGTACGAGCGGGAGAGTTGTCACACAATCGCCACATGAGTGTAATTCAATCGGAGCGAGGCAAGGATCAGACAGGAGTCATCGTATCGATCACATGGATATTTCAGGAGACCAATTAGAGGATTGGATCGACGTCACAGGATCTCACAGGACATCAGGATTGCATCGGTCGAGTTGGGATCAAAGCATTGACAAGGGCAGTGGAAATGGTATGCACATGGTGAATTTTCGGTTGAAAGACGCGTGCGGTGGGGGTCCAGGCGAAGGCAAGCATGAAACAGAAAGTTGAAAGAGATACCATGAACGATCGCGCTTCAACATGCACCAGTGGCGTGTGTGTGTGTATATATACGTGTAATATATATATGTATTTGGCTGGCACACATTCATCTCGTACAGAGCCTGTCGTTAGAAGTCGCACGCGCACGCCGATTTATTTCTTGCGCTGCAAACGAATCAAAAGATATATATGTATATGGCACTGCATAGTATATTAAACTATACATGTCTATAATATAACTCGTGGCTTGACCTCACGAATATAAGATAGCCACGGACAGCGAATCCTTCGAACGAATACGCTCTCGTGCATGCCTCTATGAAGCTTTGCATTTCAAATACACCGTGTTCGCATGCGCTAGTAAGTGTTTATATCGAGTTTTGTCGAGGTGACAGTTTGACCAGGCAAGTAGGTACAGATGACTTCCCATTTGGAGCGATCGATGCATTCCCAGAAAATCGACTTCAAATCTGTGTGAATCAAAATCGCTACGAGCAAAATTAATCTGACATCTTTTTATTCTAATTTAAAAAAGCTCTGATTATATCTTATTTATTTTCTAAATTAAATATTTTTGAAATATAATAATATATTGACTAGATGAAAATGAAGAGATTAATCTGAAAGTTAAATCTTTTCAAACCTTATTAATTAAATTACTCTTTCACAATGTGTTGCAATTTATTTTATCATTTTTCTCGAATTACTGTGTTTTTTTTAACTCTGTCAACCTGTAATGAAAATTTTTAATTGAAACATTTCATTAATATCTCATCAGGATAGATTATTCATCCTTTTTCGCAAATATATCGCAATCTTTCCAGAAATTTAATTATTCCCTTATCTGTATTAAATATTCTCGTTTACGAATTTGATTTTCATATTAGTCTCCAGGGAATGCACTTAGCACGCAAATCGGGGATACTACTTATTAAACTAAGTATATATCATACGGAAAAGACACAGAATGTTGAAGTAAGCACATAAAATCCGTATCTCCTATAATGTGATTCTGTGCCAACACTATAAGAAAGTAGTTCATTAAATATATTATAAGAATAAATACAGTTGAATGACGATGGAGAGCTAAAGCTTGCATATGTAATACAATAAAGTGCTACTGCGATACTTACATTGGAAAGAGTGCTGCATGTTGGTTTTTAATATCGGCGCAGGTATGCGGGTATGCAAGAAGCGTCGCTTGCGTTCAAATTCTTTAGCGCAGAAGAAGATAGACAGCAATATATTGATTATATTATTAAATGGCGAATAATCTGGTAAGGATCATGAAGATGGCTATATTACAAAAGCACATATAATTTTTATTAGCCACGGAGCGCAGCAAGTGACTTACTCGTATTACAATACAGCAGAACTACTACTAGAATTTCCAGAAACCGCGGCTTCTCTCGGCATCTGTCGATATAAAGTGCTTTAACACGTAACAAACAAAACAAGCAGTAACTAGATCGCCGCCGTTCGACCATTAATAGTACGAGAGACCAATCACGCTCTGAAATATACTTTTTGCACGTATATCCATCATTTGTATTCACGTATCGTTCGTTGTATCCGAAAGATTAGAGAGCGGCAACAAACTATCGAATCGCCGCGAATATGGAATTGCAGATTAATTTGCTCCATGCGTGAACGCAGAACCATAAACTTTCATTTACGTATTTGTGTAAATGCATTTGCTTACTCGACGCGTATACATATGCAGTCGTATACTGCATTCGTCAAATCGTCAAATTGCATCGGCCATCCTAGTTCTTTTTTTTTCAGACGGTTGTGCTGTCTTTTGTGGCAGCCGCAATACCGCGGCTGAATACGATCGTTCGCAATCGATATCGGTTCGCCACACGGCGCGCGTTTGTAATCGCAGCGAAATTATGTCGACGTTATAAAAGAAAAGATAACCCACGTTATTTGCTGATTGCGATTCGCTGCGAAATGGCTCTGCTCGCCGTGGCGAAAGCGGCAAACGAAGCGCGACTAGAAGCAGCTAGCGAAAATCATTTTTTGCTGCGATAAAGTACGAGGCTGTAACTGACACGATAAATTTTTATTTTTTTATTATACACTATATAGCTATATATTTTTTATTAT